GAGCCGAAAAGAATGCACGTCACACCTCTGTTTATCAGTTTGCACTGGCTACCAATAGCTGCTCGCATACAATTCAAGGCATTAATGTTTGCCTACAAAACCCCCACTGGCTCTGCACCCCTTTACCTAAATTCATTACTTCAGACTTATGTGCCCTCTAGAAGCTTGAACGTCGCTTTATTGTGTCATTCCAAAGAGGCACAAAATCACTTTCTCTGACTTTTAAATTAAATCTTCCCTCCTGGTGGAATGACCTGCCCAACTCAATCCCAGCAGCTGAGTCCTTACACATCTTCAAGAATCGGCTAAAAACACATCTGTTCCATCTTTATTTGACCCTCTAACTCTAGCACTCTCTATTCTAATTCTATTCTTTATTTATTTATTTTTTTTAAACTTGCCCCTTTTAGACTGGCACTCTATTTATTTACTAACTGCTTGTTTTCTTTAAAAAAAAATAAATAAATAACACTTGCTTCTCTAACCTTTTTGTATTCTATCTTTGTTTTCTTTTTATTTATTATATAATTAACAAAAGCAATGCTTTATTTTTTTTCTATTCTATCTGTTTTCTTTTTATTTATTATATGGTTTAAAAAAACAACTTGCTACGTGTACTGCATTAAGCTAACTGAGACTTGTTATAGCACTTGCATATCATTGCTCTTTTGTTGATTTTGATTGCTTCCAGTGTCCTCATTTGTAAGTCGCTTTGATTAAGGCGTCTGCTAAATGTCTGAATGTAAATGTAATGTAATGAAATGATAACAGAATGTGTATTTTTGAGTGAACTATCCCTTTAACAGTGGGGATAAAGTTTCACCAGGGTTAAAGCCTCTCCTCTAAACCACTAGATGGCGCAAAAAACAAACAAACAAAAAAACACCACAGCACTTTCTTAAGGTTTGTTTTTAACCTCGTTGTATCTTATAATCTGAAAGTCCACTAGATGGCTGCAGATCCATTTAACTTTATAATGCCATTGCCGGGCACTCATTATTAAAGCCATCCACATCATGACCTGTGTTCAAGAAGACAAGAGTAAGACTCATAATGTCTTGCTAATGTGGCACGCATGTCTGTTTTAATGCTTTATTATCAACAAATAGCATATGGCTACAACAACATATCCCATAATAGGCTGCAACAGGAAAACATTTAGAATGCATCATACCATAACAACAGCAGCAGAACAGAGACAGAAAAAATCCATACATCAGCATCAGTTATAGAAAGATATACATTTTAAATTGACATATGACGCTTATGTATGATAATAATATAGAAAATGTACATTTTTATTCGGAAATATTAAAAAGCATATTGCATCTGTTTAAGTTGCTAAGTTAAAGTTGTTAAATCTAATTGAGCATTAATCTTCTCTCACATTGTAAAAACAGGCTTGCCCCTTTGTATCTTTGCATTTGTGAATATG